CCCAGGCCCAGAGTTCAGGCCCCATGACTAGACCCCCCCCCAAAAAAAGAAGCTTGAAGCAATGTAGACATGCAAACCCCCCTCTTTACCTGTTTGACTAGTTTAACCCACTGAAGTTCTCTACATCTTTAGTATGCCTTTGCCTTGACTGTGCTTTGCAACCTCCTGGGAAACCTAAGAACCCTGATGTTTAGGGCCCAAACCACAGATGTCCTCACTTAACAAACTTGGTGTTTGGACTTTTAAAATCTCCACAAGTGATTCTGGTGTAGAGACAAGATAGACCATCATTGCATAAACAGTGATAAATGTCTATTGATAGAACTTTTTTTCTTGTAGGCTGTTTGCTAAAGTGTTTCTTCTGGCAATTAAAAAAATACTTGTACTTGTACTTTATATATGTACTTGTTTTTCTCATTATGGCTCCAGGACCCACAGCATCAAGACCACTTGAGATGCAGTCATTATGCAAATTACTGGCCCACCAGACCTGCCAATCAGAAATGTGAGGGGGTGGGGCCAGCAACTGTGAAAGCCCAGAGGTCCCAAAGGGTCAATGAAGTTTGAGAGCCACTACTCTGAAAAGAGGCCTTGTGTACCAGAGGTAGGTCACAAAACAAAGTGAAAAGGAGTAGAGAAACAGTTAAGGATTAGGTATTCTTTGTTGGAAATATGGAGCACATTCTTATTTGTCCTCTTTGGGCAGAGCTGGCTTTGCTCTCCAGGAGTTCCAAAGGTAACCCCTTATTTTCCTGCTTGCTAGGCCCCTCCGTGCAGGATTCTGTTTTGTCCAGAGAGAGCAGTTATTTGCCTTCCTGTTCCCTCTGTTGACTATTCCCCTCCCCCACCAGTTGCTGGGGACATCTGCTCTGCCCCTGCCCCCCTCTGCCAGCCACAAGGTGCTGAAATTTGTCATTCTGTTATCCTAAAGAAGGAAGAACGGGGTTTGGCTCTTGGTATCCTAAAAATAAAACCCTCCTGCTGCATGTACTATGATTCTGCCACCTGAAATGCATTCACCCTTTCCTACTGGGCCAGTGCAAACTGTGTCCTAATGCAGCCACAAGGCCTCTGTGGCTGTCCAGGGCACTTGGGGCAAATGTGTGACTTAGGCGTCCAGGTTTGGATGGAGCAAATATTTTACTTTCTTTACCATACCCTCCTGTGGTTAAACCCGAGTGATGTTTGCCCATCTTCTCCTAGCCAGTGTGGAAGGAGCCCATTCTCCTCACACCTGACAAGGAGATGGTGTTTCTGGCTATCTCTGGAAAGCTGAGTTTTATCTGTTGACTGGAGAATTTCTCAAATAGATTTTCCTACGTAGGCTAACTTGACTGGCTATTTTCAACTCTAGCCCGGTAAGGGAACGTTGGATAAATTAAAGCATCAAACTTTTGAGACGATTTGCTTTCAAAAGCATAGGCTGGGGCTGGGAGCGCAGCTCCATGGTAGAAGGTACAAGGCCTGGGTTCAATCCTCAGCAACACATTTTAAAGCTTTCCATCTGCCTCAGAAATGACCCAGACCTTCTTGGCCTAGGAGCCCCACAGGAGACACACCGAGTCGGGCCATGCAGGAGTGGGTAGCCACACCAAGTTCCCTAATGGTGCCTTGAGCTCACATACTTGTCTCCCACCAAACTCTGGAAAGTGCACCTGCTGGTTAACTACAAAGAGTGGCTTATTTGGGGTACAGATTCACTGAACGCCCTGCACCTGCACTGGCTCGCCAGGATGGGCCCAGGAAGGCTCACTCACCATATCGGCACCGGTACTGACAGACTCCGTCCTTGCCCCCCAGCAGCTCCAGGAAGGAATCGAAGTAACTGTTGACCGACTCAAAGCTGCCGCGGAGGTGCCGGAGGCCCCAGTCCGAGTAGGACTCATCTGCTTTGGGGCTGGGGTCGCCCTGAGCCGAGCCACCCCCCAGGCTCAGCCACACCACCACCCAGACGCCCGGGCCCAGCTTCATCCTGCCCACAGGAAGGTTGGCAATCGTTGCTTCTGGCCTCCGACCCCCAGCCAGGGTCCCAGCAAGTCCTGGGCGCCGCTTGGCCCACCCGCCGGCCGGACGTGGGCAGGACGGGAACAGTGTCTGCTCCCCACGAGTGGACTTTAAACAGCACTGCAGGCTGCGATGAGATCAGAGCAATTAGAAAGGGGGCAAAGGTGAAGGAGTGGGAGGGAGCGCCTGCCCGAGGGACAGGGAGCTTCCTCATGGGGGGACCCCACTCCTGCCTTGGAGGAAATGTTTGCTCCCCAACAGCAGGGGGCTACCTCCACAGCTTGGGGGCAACTGTTGCCAGCTTCGCTCCTGGGGCCAGCTTCTTGACCCAAGAGCTTGTCCCAAAGTCCTAGCCACACCCTGCACCTGGTCACCTGTACCACCGGGATCTCCCTGGAGAGCTGAGCGTGCTCTAGGCGTGTTCTGTGCGCGCGTTCTGTGCTCAGGCCCCGCTTCTGCCTGGCTCCTTCCTTGGCTGTCTGACTCATAGTCACTGGCCTGGTGAAGGTCCTAACTCTACCTGACCCACACTGCTGGGACACTTAGCCTTTGCCTCTCTCTGCGGCATCTCTTGGCAGTACTCCATGGGGAGGCCCTGCGATCCACCCGTGGCCCCTGCTCAGCGCCTCTGCTCCCAGTGCCTGTCTGCTGGGCATTCTTCAAAGTCCAGGAGTTCATTAGTAAGATTGTTTTGATTGTTTTGAGATTGGACACTTTAAGATTGTTGACTGAGGGGCTGGGAAGGTGGCTCAGTGGTAGAGCGCTTGCCTTGCATGCATGAGGCCCTGGGTTCGATTCCTCAGCACCACATAAGCAAAAAGAAAAAAGCCGGAAGTGGTGCTGTGGCTCAAGTGGTAGAGCCCTAGCCTTGAGCTGAAGAGCTGAGGGACCGTGCCCAGGCCCAGAGTTCAGGCCCCACGACTGGACCCCCCCCAAAAAAAAAGATTGTTGACTGAGTCTAGTGTTTGGGCATACATTTTTGTTCATGGTTTGCCCCTGAGTCTGTGAGGAAATAACCCTCAATGGAATCATTTGTAAAAATGATTCGTTTTATAGACCAAATGAATCAATTAGCTTCTTTCCCAAATGTCAGGAAGGCCCAATAGAAATGAGCAATCTCTATATTGACTTAAGAAATGTGTGTGTTTATGGGCTGGGAAGGTGGCTCAGTGCATGCATGAGGCTCTAGGTTCGATTCCTCAGCACCACATAAGCAAAAAGTAAAAAGCCAGAAGTGGCTTTGTGGCTCAATTGGTAGAGCGCTAGCCTTGAGCTGAAGAGCTGAGGGACAGCTCCCAGGCCCAGAGTTCAGGCCCCACAACCAGATCCCCCCACACACACACAAAAAAAGAAATGTGTGTGTTTGAAGACTGCAGGAAGAGGTATAGGTTTAAAAAAAAACCAACTCATATGTACAATTATGTGTCAATTTAAAAAATGAGGAAAAATGGTAATTCTAATCAATATCTAGAAAAACAAACCCACAGACACAGTTCTACAAAGCATGGTAAATATCCCCACTTGGGAGATAAGAAAGCTAGACAGGGAATTTAGATGATTTGGTCAAAGCTAGGTCCAGGGTCAGCCTCATAATTTGAAAGGTCTAATCAAAACAAAACGTACAACTTTTTTCAATAATGGAAACCACTAGCTTGTGAGAAAGCACTTACCAAGCATGCACAAGGCTCTAAATTCCATCCCCAGCACTATCCCAAAAGGAAGTGGAGTGTGCTCGGTAGTGCATGTGTATAATTTCAGGTAATTGGAAGATTCAGATAGAATCATGGTTCAGGGTCATCCTGGGCAAACTGCTCTATGTCAAAAAAGAAAAAACCCATTGGCGCACATGTGTAATACAAGCCATGTGAGAGCTATAGGGTGAAGACTGAGGTTCCAGGCAGCTGGAGAAAAACTTGAGACATTATCTGAAAATTTAAGCAGCCAGGTGCCAGTGGCTCAGTCCTATAATCCTAAATCCTAGCTATTCAGGAGGCTGAAATATGTGGATTGAGGTTCAAAGCCAGCCCAAGCAGACAAATTCAAGAGACTCCTATCTCCAAGTAACCAGCCTAAAACTGGAAGTGAAGACATGACTCAAGGGGTAGGACTTCAGCTATGAGCAGAAAGAGCTGATGGAAAGCTCAAGGCCTTGCGTCAAACCCGAGTACTAAAAATAAAAAGATAAAAAACGAAAAGCTATTAATATAAAGTGGGTTTTTTTCTTTAAAAAATATATAGTATAAGGATGGTTAGCCCAGTGAGCTCCCTTCCCAGCTCCTCTCCCCCTTCCACAGCTTGGTATGCTCCCTTCCTAGGCAACACTGGGCCCATTTAGTCAAGGCAGTAAATAATCAGCCTCCAATCCCCCTTTACCTTCTTATGGCATGTCTCTGGGGCAGCTACCACCCTTTAAGGCAGCAAGAGCCCCTTAGAGTGACCTTCAGATCTGGGCACCTGCAAGGCCCCTTATCTACTACTTGGGCAGCAGCCATGAATCCTAGTCCACCATGATGAAGCCCCTGGTCCACATATCCACACCAGGGTCTCCGTCTCCTAACACCTCCTAGCCCCTCCTAGCCTCAGTAGGTTATATAGGTCACCCCAGACAATAGCCGGTGCTTCTTCTTACTTCTCCCTTGTGAGAAGGAGTGTTGCTGGCCCGTTTCCCAGCAATAAACCTTTCTTTGCTCTCTGTACCTGCATGTCTGTGTGGTTTTCTGGCAAAAGTCTAATAATCTAACAAGGAGGATACTGACATATTGGTAACAATTCAAAAATTGTCATAATTTTATATAGCATATATTTTAAAATTTGTAATACCTTGCTTTATCATAAGATGTCTTACTTGATATCTGAAATTCATCATTTACCAAAGTTTATACTTTTAACTACATGAGTTTTAACTGAAAGAAATTTCCATTGATCTTAACAAATGCAAAGTGGCAAATCATAATTCTTAATTTTGAGAAGGATCCTTGTGCTGGCCTAACTGTAGTGGGATATTAAGGTACTATTTCTCATTTCTGTGGTAAAATAGACATACCCTAACACATTTGAGCTATTTTTGCACATATATAAGGGCACTGAGGTGGCTTTGGCATTATTGCGCAGCCGTCTTCATCATCCTAAATTTAAGCTCTGCCTTTTTCCTGTTTCTCTTCCTCAGTTCTAATGAATTTGCCTGTTCTTGTTTGTATAAATAGTTATGCAATAATAAGTCTGGCTTATGCATTTTATGCCTGGCTTACTCCACTTAGTACAATGTTTTTTGGTTCATTTCATATACATCAATACTTCATTATGGTAAGTAACATTGCTGCAACTATTGACAGATCCCCTGCCTTCCATTTAGGGAAGTTATACACATAGGATTGGATTTGTCATGTCATATGTGTTCAAGTAGACAATTTGTTTTTTTCTGGAGAAGTGTCACGGCTCTCCATGGTGTCTGTATCATTTACATTTCTACCAGTGAGATACAGGGGTTCAGTTCCTCCATGTACTTGCTAACAAACTAGTTTCTTTTCTTCCCTTCCCGTTTTTTCCCCCTCCTTTCTTCCTTATGCCAGAACTCAGGGCTTTGGCACTCTTAGCTTTTTTCTTTTTTCATTTTTCTTTTGTCAGTCATGGGTCCTGAAGTCTGGGCCTGAGCGCTGTCCCTCAGCTCAAGGCTAGCATTCTACCATTTGAGCCACAGCACCACTTCTAGCTTTTTCTGCTCATGTGGTGCTAAGGAATCCAACCCAGGGCTTCATACATGCAAGGCAAGCACTCTACCATTGAGCCACCTCCCCAGCTTGAGCCACACCTCCACTTCTAGCTTTTATTTTTCCCCAGTGAAAAATTGGAGATAAGACTTGTCTCTTGGACTTTGCTGCCCAGGCAGGCTTCAAACAGATCTCAGCCTCCTGAAAAGCTGGGATTAAAAGAGTGAGCCACTGACACCTGCCTCTTTTTCCCTTTTCTTCTTTTTTATGTTTTCCCTGCCTGTAGCACAGTGTGACCTCAATGTCTTGTGCTTGCTCAGCTTGCTTGTTCCACTTGTATTCTACCACTAGAGCCACACCCCTAACCCAGCTTTTGCTGATTCTCTTGGAAATCAAGTCTTGTGGAAGTTTCTGCCCAAGCTGCCTTGAATTATGATACTCTGGATCTCAGCCTCCTGAGTAGGTAGGGTTATAGTTGTGTGCTACTGGGGCTAGACTGTTTATTCTGTGTGTGAATATATATTAGGGCTTGAACTTGGGACCTGGGCATGCTTTTTCACATACAGCTAGTCATCTACCACTCCAATTCCAACTTCATTTCTGGCTTTTTGGTGGTTAATTGGAGATGAGTCTCATGGACTTTGCTGCTTGACTGGATTGCAATTGTAGTCCCATATCTCAGCTTCCCCATTATCTAGGATTATAGATGTGTGCCACCAACACCTGACTCGTTTTTACTTTTTTTGGGGGGGTGAGGGGGTTGGTCATGGGGCTTGAACTCTGGGCCTGGGCACTGTCATCACCGGCCACCCTATCCACCCCAAACAAGTAACATCTGGGTTTGGGAACAGCAGCCCTTGGCGCTGGGAAGGTGGCTCAGTGGTAGAGTGCTTGCCTTGCATGCATGAGGCCCTGGGTTGGATTCCTCAGCACCACATAAGCAGAAAAAGCCGGAAGTGGGGCTGAGGCTCAAGTGGTAGAGCGCTGGTCTATAACTGAAGAGCTGGGGGACAGTGCCCAGGCCCAGAGTTCAGGCCCCACAACTGACCAAAAAAAAAGGAACAGCAGCCCCATCAGACTGGCTCCTGTCTCATCAGATAGTGGTAACCTAAAATACCAATATGGAGGATCCTCCTCATAGGAGTCCTTGCAGGACCACATACATTATAGTATCTGGTATTGCCCAGCCCAAATGGCCAATACCTCTAACTTTTTTTATTTTTATTTTTTTCTGGTCGTGGGGCCTGAACTCTGGGCCTGGGCACTGTTCCTCAGCTCTTCAGCTCAAGGCTAGCACTCTACCACTTGAGCCACAGCGCCACTTCCGGCTTTTTACTTTTTGCTTATGTGGTGCTGAGGAATCGAACCCAGGGCCTCAGG